ATACAAAATTTATTTTAAAATATTATTTTAATATTTAATTTAAATAATAATTTTAATTTAAAATAAAATGGAAAAAGCTTAAAAAATACAAATTTGTAATTAAAATAAAATAGAAGAAGGTTAAAAAAATATATAAATTAAAATTTCGTTCGAAAATTTAGGATTAAAATAAAATAGAAAAAGCTAAAAAAAAATGCAGAAATTAAGAATTTTTGCTCGAAATTTTGCGATTAAACTAGAAAAAAATTTTAAAATACAGAAATTAAAAATTTTGTTCCTTTTATAATTAAAATAGAAAAACACTAAAATGTAGAAAAATTAAAATTATAAAATTAATAAATAATAAAATAAATATCGTTTAGTTTAATTAAAGAATTTACAGAATTGAATTACAGAATTCGTTGTAATAATATTGCTACAATGAATATTAATATTATTATCATAAATGTAAATATTATTATTATGAATATTAATTCACAATATTAATAATTATGAATAATATTAACAGTTACCATTGTGAATAATTAATATTATCAAAAATTTAATTAATTATAATTTTCACGAATCACTTGCTTGATGATGATGATGAAGATAAAGTGCACAATTAAATGTATTTTAGAATTATATGTCTATAGATGTTGCTTATATATATTTTAGTCGAGGATGAAGGAAGGTTTTTGAAATGAAGTGTTGGATGTCATTATACTAATAAATGGAATGCAATTGAAACCCAAATCCATTATCCAGCATAATAAATGATTATATTCGTTTCGTGTTAATTACTAATGCAACGATACCATAAAACAATAAAGGGGTGATAACTACCTTCCACTCTATCCCTTTTACATACGAGAAAATGAAGAGGTGCAGTGGACTTGAAAATTCTATAAATGATTCGTAATTGATGGCTTTTAAATACCCCCTCCCCCCACTCCCTTTTCGAGTGCATATAAATAATTTCTTTGACAATAATAATTAATTTTTCACTTAATTCTTAACAAGATTTTTTTCTTTTTTTTTTGTCTATTTTTAATTTGTTTATTTCTCGTGGTTGAGAATTAACTTTGAACCAAACAACAAACTTTATTGCAAATAATAACAAAATTTATTAGAAAATAATAATTAAAAAATTATAAATTAAAAAATTAAAAAGTTAAAAATTAAAAAATTTATAATTAAATAATGAAATCTAATTTTAATAAGTTAACTAAGAAAATAAAGACAGAATGAACAAAATTCGCCAATTATTATTATTAATAAGAAAACAAAATTAATATTCATTAATTTAATAAAAAAATTAATTAAAATTAATTTTAAAAAAAATTAATTAAAATTAATTTAGAAAAAAATTAATCAAAATTAATTTAATAACAAAATTAATCAAAATTAATTTAATAACAAAATTAATAAAAATTAATATTAATCAGGGTTGACACAGGTCAGGGAAATCAGAGAATTCAGGAAAAAGTCAGGGAAAAGTCAGGGAAAGTAGAATTGATCAGGGAAATCCGGGAAAAGTCAAGGATTTTTATTAAAGTAATGAAAAAAATTAAATTTGCAGGATTCATAATTAATTTTATTTAATTTTTTAATAATTTATTTAATTAATTATTAAAAATCATGGATTTAAAGAAGAATTTTAGTTAAAAGCACTTTAAAAAAATTGAATTTTAGAAAAGTTACAAATGTTTGCAGAAATTCAATTATGTTCAAAAATTTTTTTTTAAATTCTCGTCAGAATTTCAATTATCTTTAAAAGTAATAAAATTCTTCTCTAAAATTCAATTATTATCGTAAATAATAAAAATTTCACAGGAATTCAATTATTTACAAATTTCTTATAAACTTCTTCGCAAAATTCAATTATTTCCATAAATAATGAAATTCTATACAGAGATTCAATTATTTTCATAAATAATAAAATTCTTTTTCGGAATTCAATTATTTTTAATAAAATTTTAACCGAATTCCTCGAGAAATTTAATTATTCTTGAAATTTTTATTTGAATTCTTCGAAAAAATTTAATTATTTAAAAATTTGTTAATAAAATTCTTTATGAGAATTTGATTTTAAGAAACATTCAATTATTCAATAATTTTTTCATTTTTGTATTTAAATAATTGAATTCTCATAGAATTTTTTAATAAAAATTGATTTAAAAATGAATTTCAGTTAAAAGTTTAGATAATAATTGAGAATTGAAAGCATTATTTTGTGAATTTTTAGAAATAAATTGTATTTTGAAAAAGTTTAATTGAATTTTTTTTTGAAATTATTTCAAGTTTTTATTTTCTAAATATTTAATTGAAGAATTTTCGAATTATCAAAATTTCGTGAAATTGAATTGTAAACAAATGGATTTTGAAAATTCTTTAGGAACTTTTGCAAAAATTGTTAAGATAATTGTTCATTTATATAAAAATGATTGAAATTTTGCGAAGGATTGTATTAAAATTTTTGTAAATTATTTAATTTTTGTTGTAAAATTTTATAAAATTTTAAATTATTATAAAACATATCTTTATTTAGAAACGATTCTTAAAAGTTTTTGAATTTCAAAAGATTTAAATTTGAATTTTTTTTAAATTTTAATATTATCTTTAGGAAAAAAGTCAAAATTTTGTCTGGAAATGAGGGAAAAACAAAATTAATTTTTTGTGTCAACTCTGTTAATAATATAATAATAATAATAATAATAATAATAATTAATTAAGATCAAATGATATTTGTAAAAAAAACTGTTTTAATATTATTTTTCGAATAAAAGGAATAAAATAGTAGAAATAAAATTAACAACTAAACTAAATAAATAATAGTAGAAAACAAAAATAAAATTTAAAAATAAAAATAAAGATAACAGATAAAAATTTTTAATTAAAATAAAAAATAGAAATAAAAAATAAGAAATATTTTCCTCTGTTTTGCAAATAATAAAATTTCAATGCTCCAAAAATCGAAAAATCATTTTCCATAGAAAAAAATATTTTTTTCCTTTTTATTTATTAATAAAATTGACAAGTTGTGTAAATCGATGCTTTGAATTAGCCAGTAAATTGAACGTCAAAGTTACACCCTCGTGGAGAGAAATACTAGTGGGGGGAGGGGGAGAAATTTAAAGGGTGGAGAGATGGAGCAACAGGTTTAACTTGCGCAGTCTCCAGGTCCGATTGAAAGTTTCCAAGTTTAAAAGTTTCCTACACAAAATAATAATAGTTTTATATATAAAGCGCGTCCGTTCTTTAGAAAACCATTTACCATTCATTTATATACCACCTTTTCATTCATTACTATACATCTTAATCAAGTTTTTGATCGACACTTGAATTTATAACAGTTTCTGTTAATTTTCAAAGCTACAAAATACATACATATATAAAGTTATAGAGATAATTTCACCTTAAGTATTGGAAAAGTAGATTTATTAACGATTACAGACATTAATTTATTTATAATTCAATTGAATGACTAACTCGGATATTAAATGTTTATTTATAAAATTTTCTTTATAATTAAAAAGAATTTTAAACCAACACAAAAATTCATTTTATTGGCATAAATAATTATTTCTTTATATTATTATTATTAAAATTATTTATATTAACTAAATAATTATTTCTTTATTATTATTATTATTATTAAAATTATTTATATAAAAATAAAAATTATTTATACTAATTTTATAATAATAAAAAAAGTTATTTACTTCAATAAAATAATATTTAATTTCAATCGAATTGAATTATGTTTCAATTTCGTAATCAATAATATTTCCGTTTGATAACAAAAATAATATTTTGAAAATTTGTTAGGAAAATAATAAAACGACAATAAATGAATAAATTAATAAAAAATTCATTTTATTCAAACAATTATTTGTCTCGATCTTTCGATAGAATAATATAATCGAATTCCATTCAATTTTTATTCCTTGATACAAATTTTTAATATTCAATAAAAATAAAATTTTCAATAAAAGTTTGCTCCGCAATATTTCGAAACCTAAATGATTTTCTCTTTACGAAGTTTATTAAAAATAATAACAATGAACAAATAACAAAAAATTAATAATGAACAAATCAATAAAAAAAAAAATTCAAAATAAAGGAATTAATAAGTGAAAAACAATAAATTTAAAGTAAAGTTATAAAATGTAGAATAAATAAAAAAATAACAAAAATTAAACAATAAATTGAGAATAAAGAATAGTAAAAAAAAAATTTAAACTGAAAATATAAAAATAAGAACAAAAAATTACATTGAATTAGAAATAATTAGAAATAATTAGAAAATAATAGAAAATATATACAGAAATATAATCGACTTGATAAAAAAATGAAATTATTTTGAAAAATAAATAATTTAAAAATATAAATGTGACGCACTTCGAAGAAAAGTTCCCAAGAAGCTGTCAAATTTTAAGTTATGTTTACCATTTTTGGGAGTAAAAATATAGAAAGAGAAGCAATTATTATTACAAATTATTATGTTCAATTTTTCGTTACATCCAAAATATTCCATAAAAACTGGTTTCGATTTTTTATAATTAAAAATAAACTTTTAATAAAAAAAAAACTAGCACAAACATAACCAATAATTCGTTTCCTTCTTAGGTGACTTTCTTGGGTTAATAATTACTTTATTTATTAATAAATTAATTATTAATATTATTTATTGATAAATTAATTATTAATATTATTTACTAATAACTTAATTATTAATATTATCTATTAATAAATTAATGAATAAACTAATTTGAGAATACTAAAAATCGTAAAGTGACTATATAAAATAATTGAACTAATAATTAAATTATTTATTTATTTTAATTATAAATTTTAATTAAAATTATAAAAATATTATTTTGCTTAAAGTAGAAATGAATATTAAAAATATTTAAAATTATAATTTTTTGTGTGATTTTTTTCAATGTAGTCGGATTATAGATTTATATTTCATATTAAAAAAAATATATATATATATGTGTATATTTCAACTATAGAATGAACGATGGTTGCACATATTACCTGGATTAGTCTAGTATTATTAGTGGGATCACTCATAATTGAAGGAAATGGAGAACCAATGGCGAGGCCAATGCCACCAAAAGTATTTAACAGTGCAGAAGATTTGAGAAAATATCTAGAACTTATAAAAGATTATTACAATCTTAATGGAAAAGCAAGGTACGGAGATTTTTTTTTCTCTCCATAAAAGTGCATACGGTCTTTTTATTTATGTGCATGGAAAAAGTGAAAATATTATGGTTAAAAGGAAAATGTTGAATAAAATATTAAATAATGTTAAAATTTTTTTCAAAAATCGTTAAATAATTTATGTTTGCTAATTATTAATATTTATTAAATAATATATATTATACTCTCTAAATTTGAATTTGTAAAAATTGTTTCAGATTTAGAATTAGTGACGCTGACTTTTTGCTTTTGAATTAGTAAATTTTACTAATAAATAGTAATTTCTTCTCATTTTTGTATTTTTTAAACTTTTTGTATTTTGAATAAGTAAATTTTACTAACAAATATACTAATTTCTACTAATTTCTGTATTTTTCAACTTTATTTTGAATTGATAAATTTTACTAGAAAATAGTAATTTCTACTAATTTTCGTTTTATTACTACTTTTTGCTTTTGAATTAGTAAATTCTACTAATCGATAGTAATTTCTACGAATTTTTGTATTTTTAAAATTTTTTATAATTTGAATTAGTAAATTTTACTAATAAACAGTAATTTCTACGAATTTTTGTTTTTTTTATTACTTTTTGCTTTTGAATTAGTAAATTCTACTAATCGATAGTAATTTTTACTAATTTTTGTATTTTTTAAACTTTTTTTTTATATTTTGAATTAGTAAATTCTACTAACCTAGTAATTTCTGCTATTTTTTGTATTTTTTAAACTTTTTATATTTTGAATCAGTAAATTTTACTAATAAATATTAAATAGTAATTTCTACGAATCTTGGTTTTTTTTACTACTTTTTGCTTTTGAATTAGTAAATTTAACTAATAAATAGTAATTTCTACTAATTTCTGTATTTTTAAACTTTTTGCTTTTAAATTAGTAAATTTTACTAACAAATAGTTATTTCTACTAATTTCTATATTTTTTAAACTTTTTATATTTTAATAACAAAAGAAATCTTGAAATAAAAAAAATTAATACACATAGATGACAAAAAAAGCAAAAACAAAAAAAATTATTAACTAAAAAAATTTCTAAATAAAGGCAGAAAATGGAGAATTAATAAAATCTGCAATAACACAATTGATTATAATAAAATTAATTGTTTTAATTGAACTAAATTTAGATAAATAAATAAATATTAATTTTTACTAATTTATTACTAAAATTTACTAATTAAAAAGCAAAATTCCAGTCATTAATTGAAATTTAAAAAAAAAACATTTTTACTAATTTTAATTTCGAGAGAAGTAATTTCTATAATTATTAAATATTATTAATACAAATTATTGTATATTATTAAAGATTACTAATTATAAGCAATATAATTTATAAATTTATTTGAATTTTTGGAACCGTATATTTATTTCGTATTGAACCAGAATATAAATTATTAATTATAAAATATATTAAATTACTGTAAATATTTCTTTGAATCGAAGAAAATTTTCTTTTCGATTCCATTAGCAGAATTTTGTTTGATTAATTTTAGAAAAACGTTTCTATAAAAAAAAATATATTTTCATTTTTATAAAAAAAATATATTTTCATTTTTATAAAAAAAATATATTTTCATTTTTATAAAAAAATTGTTTTCATTTTTATATACTGAAAAAATAATTACATTTTTTCATACAAAAAAAAAATGTTTTTAATTTTATGTACAAAAAAAGTGTTTCCATTTTTTTGGATGAAAAATTTTCACTTTTTTTCTGAATTAAAAAATAAACTAATTAAAATATATATCAACGCTTATATTAATAGATACGGTAAGAGGTCAACAGAAACCCTTTTAACGTCGGGAAATTACAACAATCCAAGTGATACATTGAGAATGATATTAAATCAAGGTCGTGATAATCGTCGAGATATGGAAATGGAAAATGATCTTTCAATGCGTTTAGAAACGAATAGGCCACAAATTCAAAATAGAATGCAACGACTGTCATCGTATCCTTATAGTTTTCTGTCAAAATACTATCGTAATATTCAATAAATTCGACAATTTTTTTTCATTTTCTAATAATATACCTACGTCATATGCAATTTTGTTTTTTTTTTTTTTGCATCATTTTTCATTTTTAACGAAAACAAAAAAAAAAGAGACATATACAATGAAACATGGTTGAAATATATTTAAATATTTGTCATTTTAATGCTAAAATTTATTGATTGTTAAAAAATAAACATAATATCAATATAGCTTTCAATAGCACAAAAGAAAAAAATATGAGCGTAATTGTAACAGTTATTTTTTATTTGTAACAATTATTATTAATAATTATTAATTAATTATTATTATTATTATTAATTATTATTATCATTAATTATTATTAAGGGCATTTGAACCTTGATGACGTCACACATGCTTTGCACAAAGTGTAACGTCATCAAGGTTCAAATGCCCTTAATTATTATTAATTTTTATTAATTCTTATTAATTTAATTCTTACTATTTTAGTTATTGAATTTTTTTTTTTTTTTAAGAGATTATTACATTCAATTGAATTAAAATTAAAATCTTATTGAATTTCCGTAAATTTTCCTCTAAGATTATTATTTAAGTGGACACTTTTAGCAATTTATATATTTAACAGAATATTTAATAATTGGATTAAATATTTTTATTTTTATTATCATTTTTTTCCTTTTCGTTTCATTTTGTTTCAGTTTTTTTATTTTTTCTATTTTCGTTCCATTTTGTTTTATTTTTTCTTCGATTTTATTTATTTTTTTTTTTTGTTTTCATTTTTTTCAATTTGGTTTTCATTTTTATTTATATTATCAAATTGCTTAAATTGTTATTGATCAATATGTATTATGTACAGAATTATAATTTTCATAAAAAGCGACTGAACTTTATATTTGAACGTGAAACCTTGAAAGTAAGCTTTTCGTTATTGATTGGAATTTTTCCTTATCAATTTGGAAAACGAATGATTTTTCTTCATTAAATATAAAATGTAAATTATTTATTATACTAAAAAATCACTCCTAACTATATATATTCACACTCTAGATAATAGCAATTCTATTATAAATGTTAAATATTTTATTATAGAGATTAAATGAGTATTATAAAATTAGAAACATTGCGACAATTTTCACACGAATCATAAAATTTGGAAAAATAAAAAAAAAAAAGAAATAGTGAAGAAAAAAAATGTAGTAAACATATTATATAGTCATCTAAATTATTTTATTAATTATTAATTATTAATTATTAGTTTTATTAAATTAGAAAGAAAAAATTAAGCACATGTGTGTTGATTACAATTTTTCTTTTGTTTTATTCTCGAAATATCGGAAAGATGACCGTTGACAACTATAATAATGTACAAAAAAAAATTATGAAAATTATTTAAATATAAATTGGATTTCTTAAAATTGATATATATTTATAAAAAATGATGACTGATTTAGTTTGATCTATTTTTGATGTAAACATTGTTATTTAAATAAAAAGATATATGGGTTTTAAATAAACAGATATTTACCTTTTTTATTGTGAATGTTTAAATTATTATTAGAAATTAGAATATTCTTCCCTTTTTTATAGCCATATAATCACTCTAAATTTTAATTGGCAAAAACTGGTTTGAATTAGTGACTGACTTTTTCTTTTTTAGTTAGTAAATTTTACAAATAAATACTAATTTCTACGAATTTATTTGTCAACAATATTTTATTTATTTATTTAAAATTAACTTTAGTAAAAATTTACTTTAGCAAAAATTTACTTTAGAATCAATAAATTTTTCTAAGTGCGAACAGTAATTTCTACTATTTTGTTCATTAATAATATTTTATTTACTTATTTAAATGTAAAATTTACTTTAGTAAAGATTTACTTCAGCCAAAATTTTATTTAAAATTAATAAATTTTTCTAGTAAACAGTAATTTTTACTATTTTGTTTATCAACAATATTTTTTTTTACTTATTTATTTATTAATAGTTTACATTAGTAAAAATTTACTTTAACAAAAATTTACTTTAGAATTAGTAAATTTTACTGATAAACTAAATTTCTACTATATTGTTTATAATTAATATTTTAGTTACGTATACCTATTTATTTATTTTAAATTTACATCAGCAAAAATTTACTTTAAAATTAGTTAAGTTTTCTAGTAACAGTAATTTTTACTATTTTGTTTATTAGTAATATTTTTTTTACTTATTTATTTTTTTTTAAATTGCTTTAGTAAAAATTTACTTTGCAAAACTTTACTTTAGAATCACTAAATTTTACTAGTAAAAATTAATTCTTATAATTTTAGTCATTTATTTATTTGTTTAGTAAAAATTTACTTTATTTAAAATTTACTTTAGTAAAACTTTACTTCAGCAAAAATTTACTTTAGAATAATTAAATTTTACTGATAAACTAAATTTCAACTATTTTATTTATTAATAATATTTTATTTACTTATTTATATATTTAAAATTTACGTTAGTAAAGATTTACTTCAGCGAAAATTTTATTTAAAATTAGTAAATTTTTCTAGTAAACAGTAATTTTTACTATTTTCTTTATTAATACTGCTTTTTTTTACTTATTTATTTATTCATTAAAAATTTACTTTCACAAAATTTTTTTTTAGAATTAGTTAATTTTACTAGTAAACAGTAATTAATTTCTACTATTTTGTTTATTAATAGTATTTTAGTTAATAATTTATTTATTTAAAATTTACGTCAGCAATAATTTACTTTAAAATTAGTAAATTTTTCTAGCAAACAGTAATTTTTACTATTTTCTTTATTAATAATATTTTTTTTACTTATTTATTTATTAAAAATGTACTTTAGTAAAAATTTACTTTAACAAAAATTTACTATAGAATTAGTAAACTTTACTAGTAAACAGTAATTTTTACCATTTTGTTCAAAATTAATATTTTAGTTACTTATTTTTTTATCTTAAATGTACATCAGCAAAAATTTTCTACTAAACAGTAATTTCTACTAATTTGTTTGTTAGTAGAATGACTTACTTATTTATTTCTTTATTTAAAGTTTACTTTAGTAAAAATTTACTTTAGCAAAAATTTACTTTAGGTGTAAAAAACTTTAGTAAATTTTACTAGGAAACATTAATTTCTACTATTTTATTTATTAATAATATTTTAGTCCCTTATGTATACATTTATTCAATAATAATTTAGTTTATTTAAAATTTACTTTAGTAAAAATTAACTTCAACAAAAATTTACTTTAGAATTAGTAAATTTTACTAATAAACTGTAATAATTTCTACTATTTTGTTCACAATTAATATTTTAGTTACTTACTTATTTATTTAGTTAAATTTGCTTCAGCAAAAATTTACTTTGAAATTAGTAAAGTTTTCTACTAAACAGTAATTTTCACTATTTTGTTGATTAATAATAATTTATTTACTTATCTATTTCTTTATTTAAAATTTTCTAAAGTAAAGATTTACTTTACCAAAAATTTACTTCACCAAAACTTTACTTTAGGAGTAGTCAAGTTTTCTACTAAACAGTAATTTCTATTATTTTATTTATTAACAGTATTTTAGTTACTGTTTTATTTATTTAAAATTTACCTTAAAATTAGTAAATTTTTCTATTAAACAGTAATTTCTACTATTTTCTTTATTTAATAATATTTTATTTATTTATTTAAAATTTACTGTAGTAGAAATTTACTTTAAAAAAAAATTGTTTTAAAATTAGTGAACGTTACTATAGTAAACTGTAATTTATACTATTTTATTTATTAATAATATTTTTTTCGCTTATTTATTATTTCTTTAAAATTTACTTTGGAAACAATTTTCTAATTCAAAAACAAACAGTCAGTCATTAAATCAAATTAGTAAACATTTTTACTACTTCAAATTTTGAGACCAGAGCTAAAAGAATTTTAAGAAATATTACATTTGGTTCAAATGGAATTTTTTCTGGATAAATGGAATCAGGTGTTTAAAATAATTTATATTTAAGAAGAAAATATAATAAATTTGTAAAATGGAAAATTATTTTATAAAAATGTTTATTAAAAATTTACAATTTGTAAGAATGTAAATAATTTTAGTGCGATTACAAAAAGAAATATTATGAATTAATATTAATTAATTAATTAATTAATTAATTTGAGGACAGGTGACAAGATATGGCCACGAACATGTTTGATGACTATGACTGAAAATAAGTCCCTTGGGGCATTCTTTGACATATGGGGTTCCCATATGGCACATACAGAATGTAGTGCAATTTTTATTTTCCAAAAGAGTTACTTTGTGTGGATCGTCTATATCTGGGCATTTCCGTTTACATGTGCTTGGATTTTGCCAACTTGGAGTTACTGTCTCAACAAGTACATCTTCGGCCTCAATAATTTCATTTAAGAATTCTAAATTATGGCAATCTGCACTTTCAGGAAAATCGCAAGTTTGTAATTTTGAATTGAAAAATAAACCAGCAGGACAAATATTCACTATTGGTCGTCCATGATTGCAAGCACAATATTTGTCACAATCCCAGTGATTTAAAAGTACTGTATGATCTATGGGATCTGTTAGTGGGCATGATCCCTTGCACCACATTGGATTTTGCCAATCACTTACTCCTTGTGTTTCTATTTCCTCTGAGGCTAATGATGATGACGCTCCAGCCACAAGGAGGCAGGCTATTGACAGGAATACTGAAATTAAATTATCATTTTGTAAATTTATTGCGGAATTTTTATTTTTAAAGGAAAACTGATTTTTCAATCAATAATTTTTTATTTTGTCATTTTTTTGTAGGTTGGGAAAATTTTCAGTTATTTCAACGAAGAAAATTTCTACTTTTTGTAAATGGAACTATTTTAATTTTTAAAAATCAGAAAATATTATTATAATGTTAAAATAATATTTTTATATTATTTTCCCAGAGTTTTTAAACTTGGAAATTTTTTTTTACACAAAATATAAAATACTTTTTATTACTTAAATAGTAAAACTGAAACTTTTTGAAATTTCTGTCTCAACATGTACTATTTTCAGAATTAATTTTACTGACTCAAAAGTATATTTTACTAATTTTTATTAAAATTTACTTCTATTATAAAATTAACTCTGGAAATAGCGATTTTTAATAGAGTGAATTTGACTATTTCCACAATTAATTTTTATCGAAATTTATTTTAATTTTCCTCAAACGCAATACAATTTTTTTAACAAAACTTATTATTTCCTGGGTAAATTCTACTAAAAAAAGATAAAAACTTTAGAAAAAGCAAATTTTTCTAAATATAAAGAAATTTTTTTAGAAAATAGTCAAAATTCCTCTGGAAATAACAATTTTTAATTATTAATTTAATTATTAATTTTTGAATTTTACTAAATCCGAAGTAAATTTGAGTAAAAATTGGCAAAATTTAGTAATTTTACCAATTTTTACAATTTTTACCAATCCGAAGTAAATTTGAGTAAAAAATGGTAAAATTTACTAATTCTCCAATTTTTACTCAAATTTACTTCGGATTTAGTAAAATTCAAGGAATTTTAAAAGAAAAGTGTTCTAACAAAAATTTAATTAAAAATTTAAAGAAATCGTAGACTTTGAGAAGCGTTCTGACAAAAATTTTGATTTAAAATTTTAAAAAATTATTGACTGCAGAAAAAGATGTACAAAAAATTATTAATATTACTAAATTTTGATAAAAATGAAACAACAAGAAAAATAAAAAAAAAAAAAACAGTAAATACAATACTAAAATTACAATTTTGATTCAATTAAAAATTGATGATAATATTTTTAATTCCCGTTTCAATAAAAAAAAAAGATAAAATAACCAAATAAATAATTTTTCAAGTGAAGTAAATTCTTATTTTTATTTTTAATATAATGAAGAAATAAAAAAAGTTTGTCAATTGAAAAATAAAAAATACTAATTATACTAAATCTGGAAATTAAAATTTTTACTACTTTTCCTGGAAAGTTTACCAAGTCCAAAGTAAAGTTAAACTAATTTTTACTTAAATTTACTTCGAATATATTAAAATTCATGGAATTTTAAAACAAGAGTAGCGAAAAATTTGATTTTAAATTTAAGAAAATTGCAAACTAGGCAAAAAGTTTTAAAAAATGCAAAAAAATTGAGAACAAAAGTCTAATTTAAAAAAGGGCAAATTAAAAAAGTAAAGGAAAAAGTAAAAAATGTGGAAAAAATTGAAAAAGTAAATTTAAAACATATAATTATTTTCTGAGTGTACAAAAAATACTATTATACATTTATTGCAGGATAATTTAAATTAATTTTTATATTATAGCATTTATTATTTTATTTCAATAAACAAATGAATAAATATCAAATTTTTATGAAATAATAAATAAAAAAGGAAATTTAAGAGGGGGAAGTGTCCGAATTTATCTTTTTCCTTATTTATGTGAAAGTTTTCTTTTTCCAACGTTAAGCAAATATTTACAAATATTTTCAATTTTCAAGTAGGATGTAAAATTTGTAATTATTTATTAAAAAAAAAATAATTGAAACATTTTTTAAATATTTATTTAAGGAAATAAAATAAAATTTCCTTATTATTCATGAAAAAAAAACTTTTGGAGATAATGATTTCACAATTAGAAATAGCATTTAAATTAAAATTTATAATTTAATAAAAAATTTAAATTAAAATTAAAATTTATGAAGAAACTAAATTTTTTATTAGATTTTTGAAAATTGTTCAATTTGAAAAAAAGAAATTAGTTTCTACACTCAGGGAAAAGGGATATTTGTCTCACAGTTATAAATTTTTTTCTCGCAAAGAAATTTAAATTGTTTAAATTCAAATTTTTTTTTTATGAACATAAAAATTTTTTTCATTTTAAAAAAATATCACTTTTGGTTCAAATAAAAATTTTTGTTTCGTTCAATTAAAATTTTGATTTTCGCCCAAAAAATTGTATTTGCGTGAAATAAAATTTTTATTTGTAGCAAATATAAAAGTTAGCTCTGAGACAAATATACGTTTATTTAACTCAAAAAAAATTATATTTGGTGTAAATAATTTTTTTTTTTTTTTTGGTGTATGATTCAAAAAAAAAAATATTCTTCTGGGTATACTTGATAAAAAAAAAGGAAAGATATTTTTTTTCACTACCTTTCATGGTATATCCTGATGTTCCAAAATTAAATATTTGAATTGAAGCTTCTATTCATGAAACTGATCGAATCTTATGAGTTGTACTCTACTTTATATAAACTGATTCTCTGTTATCATAAAATCGATTATTAAATTGTTATCAAAGTTAATAGAACTCTTGAATTCTAGGATTTATATCAGAGATTGAAACACGCAAAACTTCCAAGGTTGCCAAAATATTTTTTTTTAAATACAATTAATACATTCAATGTCAAGAAAAAATAGATTGCAAAATTGCAAAAAAAATATATCTACACTTCTAGTGTATTATTTATTAGTTTTCTGATTTAGAATATACAAGAAAATAAATAGATAGTAACAAAATAATTTCGTAATTTTTTGATAATCAAATATTGCAATTAATTGACATAATTTGATTTCCAGTAATTGATAATAATATATTGCAATTTATAAATATTTATAGAACTGTTTTTCATTTTTTTTTTTAGAATTCTTAGTATTTTGTTTCGGTTCAAAGTTCTAGTGTTTGAATATTTACACACTCAATCATTTTTATCCGTGAAATAATACAATGTATAATAATAAAAATGAAAACATCCAAAAGACAGTAAAAATCCAAAAAAAGATTTAATCGAATAAAATACTGAAAAAGTAGAGATTTATAATAATTCTATTAAATATTTATTTTTTTTATAATTCACTTTTAATTTATTGAGAGTATTAATTGAAATTTTTTTTAATAATAAGATAAGAGAAATTTTTTTTGTTTATTAAATAATATTCATAGCAAGAAAAAAATTTTGTTCGAAATGAATAAAAAATTTGGTAGTAAAAGGTTTATTAAATAATTTAATTTTAATTTATTCAGAGTCTAGTAATTGCAAATTATTTTTAATAATAAGATATAAGAAATTTTTTTTGTTTATAAAATAATATTCACAGCAAGAGAAAAATTTTGTTCGAAACGAATAAAAAGTTTAGTAGTATGTAAAAGGTTTATTAAATAAACTTCATTTATTAATTTGGTGAATTAAATAAATTTATATTTATTATTATAAATTATTTATATTCAATATATTTATTTGTAATACATTTACATTTACTATTTTAATTATTCGGGAACGTTTTAATTTTAATTTAATTTTTTTTTTACTATTTTTATTATTTTCATTATTTTTATTATTTTTAATATTTTTTATTAAAATCTGGTTTTTGTTAGAATGTAACATAAATCTTTATTTTGTGTTGGTCTTCAAATATTTATTTAATAGTGGACAAGTAATTGTTTATTTAAATCAAATAAATTTTTTTTTCTAGTCAAGGGTTTTTTTTTAAAAGTAATTCATGATAATAGTAATCTTATCAGTATGATGTCAGTTAATTTTTAAAGCGAATAATCTGATTTCATTAATATGTAAGTTAATTGCATAAGGGAAATAATTTTTTAAAAGCAAATGTATCAAAATTTTTTTTACGCATTACTTGAGACTAGAAATGTTATTTGTACTGGAGAACTGCTTTTAAATCCCTCGCAACTTCTTTTTTCAAATTTAATTTCGACTAATTTTCTCGAATCTTAATTTTTTTCAAATTTAATTTCATTTAATTTTCTCAAAATTTCCTTTCTTTCTAATTTGCTCTCGTTTAATTTCCTCAAAATTTAATTTTTTTTTAGTTTAATTTTGTTTTCTGTTCTCGAAATTGAATTTTGTTTCGAATTTAAATTCGTTTATGTTTAATTTATTACCTACTTAATTTTTTAATTTTAATAAAAAAAAAAAGATATAAAAGGACTCAGAGTCAACTAAACTTTTTATTTGGTTTAAATAAATTTTCTTTGGTTTAAATAAAATTTTCTTTGGTTCGAATAAATTTTATTTGATTCCAATAAATTTTTGTTGGTTCAAATGAATTTTATTTGGTTCGAATAAATTGTATTTGTTTCGAAGACAAGTTTTTTATTCAAATCAATTTTATTTCTTTTAAATTCTATTTTTTGGTTCAAAATAAATTTTATGTAGTTTAAATAAAATTTTTTTTGGTTCAAATAAAAGTTTTACTTGCTTCGAATAGAATGTTTATTTAAAAAAAGTAATTATTTATTTGTTAAGCTCTGAGACAAAAATACTTTTTTCTAATTAAAATAAATTATATTTGGTTTAAATAAAATTTTTATCTAGGTGTAATTTTAAATATTAAAAAAATAATAATGAAGTAATATTAAAAAAATAATAGTCAAATAATTATCAGCAATTTCATTTCATTTAATTTTCTTTAAATTTTCTTTCTTTCTAATTTGATTTTGTTTAATTTCCTCAAAATATAATTTTTTTTTATTTTAATTTTGTTTACTTTTCTGGAAATTGAATTTTTTTCGAATTTCATTTCGTTTATGTTTAATTTATTACTTAATTTTTTAATTTAAGTAATATTGAATGTACGTCCAGAAAGAAGATATATTGAACTCAGAGCCAACTAGACTTTTTATTTGGTTTAAATAAAATTTTCTTTGGTTCGAATAAATTTTATTTGGTTTAAATAAAATTATTTTTGGTTCCAATAAATTTTTTTTGATTCAAATAAATTTTTTTTGGTTCAAATAAATTTTATTTGGTTCGAATAAATTGTATTTGTTTCGAAGACAAATTTTTTATTCAAATCAATTTTATTTCTTTCAAATTCTATTTTTTGGTTCAAAATAAATTTTTGTTGGTTCAAAATTCAAATACAATTTTTATTGGTTCAAATAAATTTTATTTGGTTCGAATAAATTGTATTTGTTTCGAACACAAGTTTTTTATTCAAATAAATTTTATTTCTATTAAATTCTATTTTTTTGGTTCAAAATAAATTTTATTTGGTTTGAATACAATTTTTTTGGTGCAAATAAATGTTTTACTTGCTTCGAATAGAATTTTTATTTAAAACTATTAACTATTTGTTAAGCTCTGAGACAAAAATACTTTTTTTTAATTAAAATAATTACATTTGGTTTAAATAAAATTTTTCTTAGGGTGTAATATAAAATATTAAAAAAATAATACTTAAGAAATATAAAGATAATAGTTAAATAATTATCAGTAATTAAGTAATTGACAAGAAAATTGTGTCAGAATTTTTTTTTATTTTTTCTAAATTTATATTAGGTACAAAAGTAGTTCTTATAAATAGTGAAGGATTTAAAATTAATTCTTTGACAGTCGACTAGATATCTATTCCTCAAGATCATCATCAGCATCATCATCTTCAAGTAATTCATCTGTCAAATCTTCACTTTCGGGTAATTCGTCAGCCATTGGTTTTACTGGCAGTGAACATTTAACATTAGCTGGCCAATCACAAACTTGAAGCAATGGATTGAAATGTAATCGAAGGCCATTTTTCATTTTTGGGCAAAGTAAACCTTCCTTTGGTACTTTCTTTCCAGCCTGACATTTGTAAAATCTAGAACAATCCTTTTCGTGAGCAATGTGAACAGTATAATCTAGACTGTCTTTTTTGGGGCAATCTTTTGGAATGGGTTTGATTGGATTATCGTCAGCGTGAACAATTAGTATCACCATACACACCACTAAACTAATCAAAAGACCTGTAAATAATTTTTCAAGAATAATTAATAGTAATAAAATTAAAATTAAATGCAAATTAAATTAATTAGTAAATTGTATAATAAACAATTTTTACTAATTTTTTAGTTAAATTTTACTAATTAAAAAATTAAAAATTTCTTAATAGTAATTTTCACTAATTTATTAGTAAACTTTACTAATTCTAAAGCAAAAAATTAATAAATAAAAAATTAAATTGTACTTAAAATCACAGGCTATTTACATATTTTATGAGAGTAATTATTAATTAAAAACTAATTTATTAAATTCTTCATTTGGTTACTATTTTAATTTATTCTCGAATTTATTTTAATTCCAATTTTTTGTAGTTCCAATTTATATAAATAATAAATAAATAATTAAATAGATGAAAATAAATCAATAAAAACAAATAAAAATAAAATCATTTCTCTATCAGGAAACAGTAAATAAAAAAAAATAAAAAATCCATAAAAAGTAAATAAAAATAAGTAAAAATAATTAAAGAAATGAATAAAAATAAATAAATAAACAATTAAAAGAAGTAAAAAATAAATAAATAAAATTAAATAAATAAATTAATTAATTAATAAAAAAAATAAAATTAAAAAAAAATTGATAGGATTTATTTAATAGAAAAGTGTATTAAAACTTACTTTTCATGATTGTGATTTATTTTAACAAATGACACTTATTTTTTTAAAGAACAAATTGATACTGAATGTAACGGACAAATTAACTTTCCTTTATAAAGAAGCAGTTTCTTATCTTTGCATAAAAAAAGTATTGATTATCATATTGTCATCAACATCGGAGAGGATTTTAATTGATCTGGGGAATTTCTAATTCCATTTGTTTCCTGTAAGATAAAAATTGAGAAGCAATTTTTTTAATTTTTTTAATTTGAGAAATAATATTCAAGAAACTGTTTTTGTTATTTTTTTTTTTTTTTTTTTTTTTTTGTAAAAAAGAAAATATAGAAAAAATTTTCCTTATTTATGTATTTCAATTAAAGACTTTTTCAAATGTGTTTTTTTTTATTTTTTACATTCTTTTTAATTATTTTTTTATATATTTTTTAAATTTTTTATTTAATTTTTTATTTACACTTTTGTTTATATTTGTTTCTATTTGATTATATTAGTTTAAATTTAATTTTAATGAAACAAATTGATTATATTTTATAGTAGAAATATTTTTATAAATATTTTATTTATTTATTTATTTACAAGTTAACGGACTTGAAAAAAAATTGAAATACATTAATTTTTATTATTACCTACTTTTTGTACATTTTATATTTTTCGATATAAAAAAAATGAATCCAATTTTTACCACATATTAAAATTTTCTTTAATTGTGACATTTATTGCGTTGTAATTTTGTTGTTTGAAAGTATTTAAAATAAATTCTTCTTAATTTTTTTTAGACATTAGTTTAGAGGTAAATTTAAAACATTAATCATCGATAAAAATATGTTTTTATCTAAAAAAAAATTCTTAACAATATCTTTAAATCGTGAAAAGAATTAACTTTATAAACTGTAACACGTAAAATCAATCCCAACTGATAATAATTTCTATTTTTGACATATAAATGTTCTTTTTCATTGCGGGAACTTTATATTTTTTTTTTTTTTGGTAATTTTTAAACAAAAAATAGCTGTAAATATTTATTGCTAAATTGATATTTTTTTGATAATCCTCCTTAGAATATTGTATATAATTTTTCTTTTATTACACCACAAAAGTTATTTTTTTATTTTGTTTTATTTTTTATTAGGTATTTTCTCATATTATATTTGTTGCGAAATTTTTAAATTTTACTATACTTTTAAAAATAATTGAATTTTTGCGAAGGATTTTATTAGGATTTTTGTAAATTGAAAAATTTCTTTTGAAAACTTCTTTTTTATTGTATTTTAAATTATTATAAAACTTATCATTCTTTTTTTTTATTATTTATTTATTTATTTATTTATTTAAACACTGTACGAGCATTATTTATTTATTATTTATTATTCAACATTTCTGTTAATTTAGTGCATAAAGAATATAATTGTAATTATAAATAAATTAAGAATTATTAAATTTTTCAATTTTTATTACATATCTCTAAAAAAATTATAATTATTATGCAAACAAAAATATTAAATACGAAATATAAAAATATTTTATTGTTTTTGTTTTATAATAATAATAATAATAATAATAATAATAATAATAATAATAATAATAATAATAATAATAATAATAATAATAATAATAATAATAATAATAATAATGGAAGTAATCATTTTTTTATGAAATAAATAGTTAATGAATAAACACAAAAACAATGATTAGTTAATTAACTAAAAATTTGTTTATATTTATATTGAATTTTCTCTAAATTTAAATTATTGTCAAAAGTAATTAATCTGATTGAAAAAAGTTAATTGATATTTCTACTGATTACTTATTTATAAAAATAAAATTTTTTTTAATAATTATAAAAATTACTAGATAGTTAATTATTTATTTAATAATATAAAGGAATTAGATTATTTATTTGATAATATAAAGGAATTAAATTATTTATTCTATAGGATTTAAAGAAATTAAATTATTTATTTGATAATATAAAGTAGTTAAATTATTTATTTAAACTTAAATTATTTAATTATACAAATTATTTAATAAAACAAATTATTTATTTAATAATATAGATTTCATATATAAAAAATCAAATATATAAAAAAAATCAAATGTACATTTAATACCTAATATAAAAAAGTATTTATTTCCTAATAACAATAAATAATAAATTATTTATTTTCTTCACTTAAGAATGATTTTGATTAATTTATGTACACACAGGAGAAATGATTTACAATTGTTGTCATTATTGTATGAAAATATATATTTTATAAATAACATTATATATCGTAATATTTTACATTATAAATAACTAACATTATTATTATTACGTCATTTTTAAATACTTTTACAAAATACTATTTGATTCAATGGAAGGTTAAACACTCAGAGAAAAAATTAGCCGCACCAAATATAATTTGTTCGAATTACGTAAAGGTTTATTTTTCTCAGTACCTAGTAAATTATTTATTTGAATTAATTAACAATTTTATTCCGCACAAATTAAATTTCTATTTTGACCAAGTAAAATTTATTCGAACCACCGAAAATTTATAGAAACAGAATAAAATTTATTTCAACCAAAAAATAGTTTTTGAACCAAAGAATAGTATCTTTTAAGAAATAAAATTTATTTCCAACAAAAAAATAGTTTTTGAACCAAGAAATAGTATCTTTAAGGAAATAAAATTTATTTGAACCAAAAAAATAGTTTTTGAACCAAAGAATAGTATCTTTAAAGAAATAAAAGTTATTTGAACCAAAAAAATAGTTTTTGAACCAAAAAATAGTATCTTTAAAGAAATAAAATTTAATTTGAACCAAAACATAGTATCTTTAAAGAATTAAAATTTACTTGAACCAAAAAATAATATCTTTAAAGAAATAAAATTTATTCGAACCAAATAAAATTTATTTGAGCCAACAAACTTTTATTGAAATCGAATAAAATTTATCTGAACTGAAGAATAGAATTTGAAACAAATAAAATTTTTTTTGAATCAAAAACTAGTATTTGAAACAAATAAAATTTACTTTGAATAAAAAAAAATAGTTCTTGAACCATCAAAAAATTGTATTTGTAATTTTGTACCCCAAAAAAATTTCTTTGAACCAAATAAATATTCTAAAAGGCACCGAGTAAAATTTGTATCTTTTTTTCCGAATGAAAATTGCTAATTAAATCAAACCATAATAAAATGATTGATGTAAAAATAAATAAAACTTTTTTTTAACTAAAAAAAAAACAATTATCATTTATCCCAATGGAAGAGTTTCAAAAAAAATGATGTATCCTTCGATGTATCTTCATTATTCGAAGGTTGATTAGCAATTACAATAGACGTGTCATCATCATCATCGTCGTCGTCATCAGGTTGGGCACAATGAACTATTGACATTGGAAGACAACGTTGCAGATGGACATCAAAGCCCATTCCTACAGGACAATATTTCTTAAATGCTTTACCATTTTCGCAAACATAGTAAATATGACATTGACATTCATGAGGGTGTAATACAGGATAATCAGGATCATCAACATCTGGACATTCGGGTTCTGGTTCTGGTTCTGGTTCCGGTTCCTCTGTTGTAGTTGTTGTTGTTGTTGGTAACGGTGTTGTACCATCGTGACAAATTGTTCCATCGTCATAATCACACATTCCGATTCTTGGATCAAAGACATCATCGCCCTGGCATGTTTCCTTATGCGAACTGCCATCAGCATGACAGACGTAGTAACTTCTACAATCTGTTTTATCAGGTATTGCTGTGCCAGGGACTCCTATAGGACATTCGTCGAGAGGAGGTGTTGTTCCTGTTGTTGTCGATGGTGTGTAAAAATCGTCCGTGGGTGTTTCGGTAACTTCTTCAGTTGTTGTTGTTATTGGGTCATCTGTTATTGGATCATCTGTTATTGGATCATCAGTTATTGGATCATCAGTTATTGGATCATCAGTTACTGGGTCATCTGTTACTGGATCATCAGTTACAGGATCGTGTCCTTCACATCCGGCATCCCATGGCCAATCACAGACTTGCAACACTCTGTTGAAATGTAGACGATCCTTGTTTTCATTCATATACGGACAGTATTGCAAAACTTTACGTCCCCAATCGCATTTGTAGAATTTTGTACAATCATATTCGTGTGCAATATGTACTGCGTCGCCTGAATTGTCTTTTGGACATTTCTTTGGTATTGGTATTATTGGTGTATCGCCTGGATAATATGCGTTGACTGTTGTCACTGCTGCTATGATGACAGCAAAGCAATATATTTCTGCAACAAGAATATGAAAATTAAAATATAGAAATACAGGAAGTAACAGTTTTTAACAGCATACAACTGTTAGATCATCAATATTATTTTTGTCACCCATTTTTGGATCAATTCTTCTCTCAAAAATTCATCATGCAACAGACTTTAACAGCATACAACTATTTGATCTGCAATATTAATTTTGTCACACATTTTTGGGTCAATTATTTTGTTAAAAATTCTGCAAGCAACAGACTTTAACAGTATACAACTATTAGATCTGTAATATTATTTTTGTCACCTATTTTTGAGTGAATTCTTTTGTCAATAATTCAGGAAGCAACCGTTTTTAACTGCATACAACTATTAGATCAGCAATATTATTTTTGTTACCCATTTTTGAGTCAGTTTTTTTGTTAAAAATTCAGTAAGCAACCGTTCTTAACAGCATACAACTGTTAGATCTGCAATATTATTTTTGTTACCAATTTTTGGGTCAGTTTTTTTTTTGTCAAACATTCATCATGCAACAGACTTTAACAGCATACAACTATTAGATCAGCAATATTATTTTTGTCACCCATTTTTGGGTGAATTCTTTTATTAAAAATTTATCAAGCAACAGACTTTAACAGCATACAACTATTAGATTATCAATTTTATTTTTATCACCCATTTTTGGGTCAGTTTTTTTGTTAAAAATTCATCAACATGCATAACAGTTTTTAACAGCATGTGTCTGAAAAATCGATGACAAAAATAACATTGGAGATCTAACGATCTCCAATGTTATTTTTGTCATCGATTTTTGAAATATTGAACAGATTGAGCGTAATTTTTAAGTTTTTTTTTTAATAAGTAACTTTAGAAATATTAAAACTATTGTTTCTCGCTGTCCTTCCTCATCTTATTTGAGACTTATTTGCAAAATTTCATCTGAATTCGTTCAATATTTTTGGAGAAAAATATGGACAAAAATGGGTGACTAATATGAATTACTTCTTCTATTTTTTTTTTTTTTAAAGGTTTTTTAATGTTCATAAAATGAAGTTATTAAATATTTTTAGTTAAAAGGTGATTCACTTAATAATAAAACAAGTAAATAATGTGCAAAAAATGATTTAAAAAAAATTAAACGAAGTAAATAAATATTTTTAGTTAAAAGGTGGTTCACTTAATAATAAAACAAGTAAATAATGTGAAAAAAATGTTTAAAAAAATTAAACGAAGTATAAATAAATATTTTTAGTTAAAAGATGGTTAACTTAATAATAAAAAACTTGCAAAAAAAACAAGTAACTTTTAAATCTTAAACTGAAAAATTTGGAAAAAAAATTCTTAATTGTTGCTGAAATATTAATTGAAATAATGTCCAAGTTATAAAAAAATTTTAATAATTTTTTACCTTTTGAAAAAATACCTTTAAAAACACTTCTAAATCATTCTCTTAATGTGCTTCATCCCAGATAAAAAAATTTGTATCCCTTTCCCCTTAATTAAAAATTATCCCTCCCCCCCCCCCTTAAAAATAATATTTTTTTGTATGTAATCACTAAACAATCAATTTAATTTATTCAGACCAAAGATTCTTCGGAATGATCAAATAAAATTAATTTAATAAATTAATTAAAGAATATTTTTTAAGAAACAATCCGTCAAATGGAACAAAAATTTACATAATTTACAAATTAAAATTTAACTATTGTTTAATTTGATACAACAAATTGTAAATAATTCTATGATTAAAAATTATTAAAAATACCCTATTTCTACCTTTTAAAACCATAAACCATACCATATTTTTAACTTGTAACTGAATTATTTGGTTTTAAAAAAATGAAAATTTTAATTATTTGATTGAAAATAAAATATTTCTACGCAAATGATGTAAAATTTATTAATACAACAATTAATATCCTTACCATTCATAGTAAGAATTCTATTTTGCGATTAACCACCATTTATTTAATACTAAAGAGTCCGATAAGCAACTGATTATAATTGTTAAAATTGCGTCGAATTTATAAACTCAAATGTTATCGTAAATTGTTATTCGCAAAAAAAAAAGAAAATTTATCTCATCCACTGAGTCAAAAATTAATTTCCAAGAAAAATTATATTTCATTAATCATTGAAAAATTGATAAAACAAAAAATTATTGGCAACAAAAGAATGTTACAAAAAAAATCTTAATTAATTTTTATTTAGATAGGAGAAGAAGTAGGCGGGTAATTTTAAACAATATTTTTTAGTGATTTTTAGAAATTTTAAGTTTTCTTTATTTAGTTTAATTATATTATTGCAAAATTATTTGTTAATTGTAGGTAAAACTTAAAAAAAAAACTGTAAAATAATAAACGTTTAAAAATAGCAAGCGCAGTTTTTTTGCGCTAAATTAATGGTAATTAATTTTTTCTAAATTAATTACTTAATTACTTTGATAAATAATAACTTAATGAAGTAAATATTTTGGTAATTAATTATTTTGATAATTAATTTCTTTATAAGTTGATTACTTCTGTAATTAACTACTTCACTAATTAATTATTTTGGTATTTAATTATTTTGGTAATTAATTATTGTGTTAATTAATTACTTTATAAGTAATTACTTTAGTAAACAGTTACTTAATAAGTTATTTACTTTGTTAAATAATTACTTCACGAATTAATTTTGTTGGTAATTACTTATTTTGTTAGTTAATTATCTTGTTAATTAATTATCTTCTGTAAGAATTAAAATAAAAATGGCACGATTTCACAATTCATAATTTTATTTACTTAATACATAATTATTTAAACTCCGCGAGTATTTTTATTATTAAAAAAATGTTGCTTCTAAATACTCTGAAAAAGAATTCTAAATATTTAAATAATGAACAGTGTAATGAGATGGTAGTAAAAAAATATTGGTTGATGTCAATCATCATTTTTCCCAACGAAACATTTTCAAGAACGAGTATAAGTCGGTTGTTGGTTTTGGTTGATTTTCAGTGGTCGAAGTTGTTTGTCCTTCATGTGAATTGCCACATGTAGCTTCTGACTTTGGTAGACATTTTCTTGTTTTAATGTCAAAGCGTTTTTCATTAGGACAGAACTCTTCAACTTTTTTGCCATTTTTGCAGACAAAATATATGTGGCATTGACATTCATGAGGGAGAACTGTTGGTTTCTTTGGATCATCAACTTCTGGACATTTATGATTGGTATTTGGTTTTGGTGTTGATGATAATGTTATTGTTGGCTTTTGTGGACAGTGCGTTCCATCCTCGTCAAAATCACACATTCTGGTTTCTGGATCGAAGAAAAAGTCTTCATCACATTGTTCGTTATGTGAAGTGCCATCTTCATGGCAAACATAATAATTCTTACAATTCGTTTTGTCAGGAAGTTTAATGCTGCTTGCTCCTTGTCCTTTGGGGCATTTTTCATTTACTTCTGGTACTTCAGGTGTTACTGGTTTCTCAGTCGTTGTTGTTGTGGATGTGGTTGTAGGTTTTTTGGTAGTTGTTGTAGATGTGGTGGTTGGTTTCTCAGTCGTTGTTGTTGTGGATGTGGTTGTAGGTTTTTTGGTAGTTGTTGTTGTAGATGTGGTGGTTGGTTTCTTAGTAGTTGTTGTTGTAGATGTAGTCGTTGGTTTTTTGGTAGTTGTTGTAGTTGTAGTCGTTGTTGTAGACGTGATTGTTGGTTTATTAGGCGGTTTTTGCGGTAATTCTTCGCAACCAGCACTCCAAGGCCAGTCACAAACTTGCAGTTCTTTATTGAAGTGCAAATAGCCATTAATTAGATCACTATAGGGACAATCCATTGGAACTTCGAGGCCATAGTTACATTTGTAAAACTTTGTACAATCATATTCATTCGCAATGTGAACTGCAACATTTCCATTAGTTTCTGGACATTTTGTAGGCACTGGCAGTAATGGCTCTTCACCTGGCTCATATGCCCCGACAGCTGCTATTACAACAGCAAAAATAAATATTTCTGCAACAGAAATATTAAAGTTTGGCGAAATTAATTAAATACTTCGAACATAGCATTAAAAGTCTCTTTCTTTTTCTTAAAAATAATAAAGAAAAATAATGTTCAAGTCTAGTCTGAAAGTCATTAAATTCTAATCTTGTTTTCGTAAGGCAAAAAATGAAAAGTTAAACTATAATTTAAAAACAAATTATTGGTCAGTTAATAGATCAGTTATTAGATGTAAAGATTTATAAATTTGGAGCAACTGAAAAATTAATATATTTAATTTTTTTTGGTGTATTTTATTCCGTATCGAATCTTTATCTTAGTTTTGATTAATCGAAGGGATGAATGTCTGATCAATGTACATTGTAATAAATTAATTAATTTTATCATTCTGAGTCATAGATGTATACATGATATTATTTGAAATTACTTTCTAAGTAACAGAATTTATTTTTAAAAGATTATGATGAAGAAAAATGATTCATTAATTTATTTATTATCAACAGACTTACAAAGAAAAATTATTAAAATCAGTTATTAAAATTACAAAGATTAAAAAATAAACCTATTAAAATTAAAAATATCAAATTATTTATATTATTATATTTTTACATTACTGCAATTATTTATAATTATCAACAAATATAAATTTGTTGAAATTTTAATTCAATTTAAAAAACAAGACAATTAAGTAAAAAAAAACATTTATTCCATTAAATTTCAAAAACATAAGATAGAAATTAAAAAAAAAGATACAGATACATTAAAGAATGTTAAAATACATAAGAATATGAGAAATAATGTTTATGATAATTATGTGAAAAGTTATATTCTAAGTAAAAATAAAAATTATGTCTTTACCCTTCATTGTTGGAATTTTCTTTTAAGATTATTATATCACCTTTTATTTAATACAACGTTTGAAATTTAACTGATTATAGTTATTCAAAATCCACTTCTTTTATAAACTCTCATGCTATCGCGAATAATTTCTTGTGTTTATCGCCTATCTATGAAATCGCCTAAAACAACTTAAAAAATAGAAATATATTTCAGATAATCATTAATATAGTGGTAAGAAAAAATGTCGATTATTCTATTCCCAGTAATATGATGAAATGTTCTGTATTTTATTTAAAGAAAAAGATTATAAAACAAAAAGCAGAGAAGAAAAAATGCTCTATTACTTTTAAAATTTGAGTAAAAATAATTTATTTCACATTAAATGATGTAATTTGATGGAGAAAAAAATGTACTTAATTTAAATGTCTTATTATTTGTCTATTATCAAGTAAATATTTATCTGGTTCAAATAAATATTTATATGATTCGAATAAATATTTATTTAGTGAAAATTAATATTTTTTTGACTCAAATCAATATTTATTTTACTAAAATATTTTTTTACTCAAATAAATGTTTAACTCAAATATTTATTTCCCTCAAATAAATATTGTATTTGAACCAAAAATTTACTTTAAATTTCAATTGTGAGAATATAAGTATGAATACCTACATATTATCATAAAAAAGTTCGTCAAAAAAATTCAATTATTTAAAAATTTGTTGATAAACTTCTTTATGAGAATTAAATTTTAAGAAATATTCAATTATTTAATAAATTATTTATTTTTGTATTGAAATTATTGAGTTTTCGTAGAATTTTCTAATAGAAATTTATTTAAAATTGAATTTTAGTTAATAATTGAATTTTAAAAAGATTTCCAATTAAAATCTATTAAAATTTGAATTTTTCATCGTAATTAATATTTTTGTATAACTAATTTGTCAAATAGGTTTATTTCAATTCTATTGAAGTTTATTAAAATTTTTCAATAAATATTTAATATTATTTAAAAAAATTTAAAGCAATTCTTCGGAAAAATCCAATTATCTTGACAAATATCCAAATTATTTTTAGGAACTTCAATAAAATTCTTTGCGAAATTCAATTATTTTTATAAATAATAATAACCACCATAAAAAATCAATTATTTTCAAAACTTTTTGAAAAATACTAAGCAAAAATTCAATTATCTTTTTAATTAACAATATTCTTCGCTAAAATTCAATTATTTTAAAAAATTTTAATAAAATTCTTGAAAAAATTTCAAATATTCATTTTTAAACGTTTTTTCAATTCAATGAGATTCAGTATTTTCTGTTTTAATAAAATTTCCCAAAAGGATTTTAATTATTTAAAGAGAATTTTAATAAAATTCCTTAAAAAATTCAATTATTCTTAAAAAAAATTATTAAAATTCATTAAAACGAATTTAATAATTTAAAATTTTTTATAAAATACTTAACAAGAATTCAATTATTTGCACAAACATTAAATTTTTTATTGGAATTCAATTATTAAAAGAATTTAAATTAAATTTCACGAAAAATTTAATTATTCATAAAAACATTTAATTGAAATTCGTCAAAAGAATTAAAACTTTGCAAAGAATTTTATTAGAATGCATGAAAGTAATTGAATTTTCAGGAATAATTTTGTTATTAATCGACATAATTGGATTATCTCGAAGAATTATTTATGTAAATAATTGAATTTTTTGGGAGAATTTTATTAAAATCTAAAGGAATAATTGAATTATTTCAAAATAATTTAATTCAAATATTTAAAATAATTGATTTTTCGAACAATTTTATTAAAATATTTGAAAATAATTCAATTTCTGTGAAAAATTCTAATATTTTTGTAAATAATTGAATTCTTCCAAAGAATTGAAAAAAAACGTTTTTTAAAATAATTTATCTTTTTGAGGAATCTAAAGTAAATTTTTAAGAATAATTCCTGTAAAATTGTATTAAAAATAATTGAAATCCTGCGATGAATTTTATTATTTATGAAAATAATTGAATAGTTGCAAAGAGTTTTATGAAAAATTTCAAAAATAATTGAATTCTTTTAACTAATTTTATAAAAATGTTTGAAAATAGTTAAATTCTGTCAAGAAATAATTGACTTCATTAGAAGAATTTTAATAAAATTTTTAAGAATAATTGCATTTTTTGAAGAATTTTTCTAAAATTGTATTAAAAATAATTGAAATCATGCGATGAGTTTTACTATTTATGAAAATAATTGAATTCTTAGGTAGAATTTTGTTAATTTTTTTTTGTAATTGAATAATTCGAATAATTGAATATTTTTTTTAATAAATTGAATCAAAATTTGAATAATTTTTGTTAATTAAATATTTAAATACCTACTTATTTATTTTTTCAAGAGGAATTAAAATATGTTTTAAATGATTTTGATTTAATTCTTAAAATGAATTTTATTAAAATTGTTTATAATAATTGAATTCTTTTAAAGAATTTTTAATAAAATGTTTAAGAATAATTGCATTTTTCGAGAAATTTATTTAAAAAGTTTATTAAAAATAATTGAAATTCTTCGATGAGTTTTATTATTTATGAAAATAATTGAATTTCCAGGAAAAATGTTATTATTAGTGAAAGTAATTAAATTATTGTGAAGAATAGTATAAAGTTTTTTTTGTTAAAATAATTGATTTTTATGAAATTTTTTTGAAAATGATATTCTAAATTAAAATTGAATTCTTGTGGAAATTTTATTATTTATGAAAATAATTGAATTTTGGATGAATTTTATCAAGTTTTTTTAAAAATAATTTTAATCTTTTACAAAATTTTATGAAAATACTATACACGGAGAAAAATATAAAGTAACTTTTACTACTTTTATAGTAAAAAATTTCCAGTAAAGCATTTCTGGTAATTTTTACTATACTTTTGGAGTAAATGTTGCTACGTTCGAAGTAAATTTTACTAATTTTTACAAATATTTACTTCGAACGTAGCAAAATTTACTCCAAAAGTAGTAAAAATTACCAGAAATGCTTTACCGGAAATTTTTTACTATAAAAGTAGTAAAAGTTACTTTATATTTTTCTCCGTGTATATAGATATTGTAAATAATATTGAAGTTCGAATATTTTTTTGAAAATAATTGAATCATTTTAAAGAATTTGTTTATAATTTTTGAGAATAGTTTTTTTATTTCTAGCATTAGCGACTTTAAAGTAGTGGAAATTCTCAAAAAAAAAAAACAGAAATAGTTGTTTTAGTAGCTGAAATCTAAAAAAAAAGTAGCCAAGTAGTAGGATAATGTAAAAAAAAGTATAGTGAATAGTAGGTTTTAGTAGATGAGTACGAAGCGTGTATAGTAGAAAATTTTTTTTGGAGTATCTATACTAATTTTTAAAGTGAATTAGAATATTCTTTAGGGTGAGGGAAGAAATCAAAATTTTAGTCTTGAAGTCAGGGAGAAACGAAATTAAATTTTTGTCGCAACCCTGCTGTGACCCTATTTTGAATTTTTTGTTTCCACTATGTAGAAATTTTTTCCAGGTTTTCAAAATTTAGTTTGGAGTAAATCGACTGTTAGCAAATCGACTTTAGTAACCTATAGGATTCGCCTGATTTATTCAAAGCCATAAATATAAAGAAAAACACTGTACAAAATAAATCTTACTTTCAGTCCACTTTTGACTAAAACCGTTAACATTAGAAACATTATTATTGACTTAATTTTAGCCTTGAGAGTATTATTTTAAGTTCTAACATAGACTTAATCCAGTTTAAGCTTAAAATTAGGCTACTTTTAAAACATTTTGGTTTTAAGTTGTAAACGGTTTCAGACTTTGTTTTTTCTGTGAAGAAATAGAAGAAGAAGAAGAAGACTTCAGTAAATTTCTGCAAATTTCTACATAAGTAAAAAATGGTTCAGAAATCCGCACAGCATCTAAACTTGCAGCAATTGTCAATGTTGCTGCAAGTTTCACAATATTGTCAATGTTGCTGCAAGTTTAGATTTTCGGAAAATGAGGAAAAAATGCTTCAAAGTTTAAAAAATACAGTTTGAATATCGACAATCAAATATTATGATTTCTGGAAGTTAACAAACTTGACTTATCCTCAGAATAAAAGTTACAAGCTTTGAAGAATCCAGAAATTTAAAATCAACGATAATGTAGAATTCTACCCAAATACAATCGATTCAGCTCTCTCGTTTTCTTCACTCCCCACAAGTGATAAAAGCCTTCACTGGTAAGCCACAAACATATCGACAGTCAGCCAAACAAACCTCTAAACTTCTTCTTTACCCAAATCATCAAAAAACTTCAGTGCACATACGTCGTGGGCGCACCAAATCCATCTGATCATGCTCTTTTATTTTTTTCCCCCCCCCCCAACTCTAAAAAGAGAAGAACAAGAAGCATCACAGAGAAAAAAAGGAAGAAAATCAACTCTCCAACAGTTCCAACCAATCGCTGACTTTAACCAAGTATAAACAATAGCAGAGCACATCAACGATTGGCTGCACTGTCGCTAAGTCAACTATTCACCTCCTATCCCATACATTGAATATCAGCTCCAACAGAATTCACATACAATCCCCGTACCTCTTCCATCCCCTCAATGTATCCACCAATTCCTCGACTCTTGACTGTCTCGAAACCCCTAAAGTCCCCCCACAACACACAGTATTCGAAGCGGGTAGACTCGACCGGCCATTTCTATCGTCGACAGTGATTCGCTTTTTTTCGTCAGGGCAAGAAAGAGAAAGAGAGAGAGAGAGAGAGAGAGAGAGAGTGAGAGGAAAAATTTTCTCTTCCTTTTTTCATATACACTCTGTGCGGGTTGTCCCGGAATTATTTGCAAAATAACGCGACGCAAAAGGATGATACACTCCGGGCGGACGAGGCTCGAGGTAAGTCCAAATGGATTCAGGGTCATTTTTGATGTTGTCATTTCGTCACAAGTGGAGGAGAGAAAGAATGAGAAAGAGAGAGAGAGAGAGAGAGAAAGCACGGGGTCGTATGTTCAATGTTGTCATTGCTAAGGCGAACAGCTGATTTGCTTCCCTGGCCTCTGAACTCGTTTTTCTATTGCATTTAGAATGTTTTGAAAAGTCTCTTCAAATTCTATGGTTGTTAGTGTCTTCTTTTTTTTTTGTTCTCATCCCCCCCCCCCTCACCC